CTGAGTGAGACTCCAATTCAAAAAAAAAAAAAAATGTACACCTCCTCATCCGTCCTCTACCACTTCTCCTAACCATTTAGCCAAACTGCATGTTCATCATCCTCTGCTTTTAAAAATAACAAATTCTACCATGTGTCTCTCTAAATGAGATCTTATTTAGTTTTGCTTCTAAGCTTTAAAAAAATGGGATCAGCCGGGCTCGGTGGCTAAGCCTGTAATCCCGCGCTTTGGGAGGCTGAGGTGAGTGGATTGCCTGAGTCCGCGGGTTCGAGACCCGCCTGGGCAATTTGGCAAGACCTTATCTCTACAATAAATCAAAAACTAGCCGGGCATGGTAGCGCGCGCCTGTAGTTCCAGCTACTTGGAAGGCTGAGGCGGAAGGATCGCTGGAACCCAGCAGGTTGAGGCTGCTGAGGCCGGGAGCGGGCACTGCACTCCAGTCTGGGTGACAGAGTGAGACTCCAACTCAAAAAAAAAAAAAAAAAGAGATCATTCTATATGTGGTCTGCTATTTCATTTTTCCTCATTATGTTTCTAAAATTGATTCATGTTATCACATCAAGCAGCAGTTCCATTATTTTCACTGCTATAATATTACATTTCAGAATGTTGATTTCCCTGTCGACAGCCCTGGGTTATTTCCAGTGTTTCACTATTACAAAAATGCAATAAACATTCTTCTACATGTCTCCTGGTTCACGTATACAATTTCTCCAAGGCATATGCCTAAGGGTAGACTTGCAGGGCTATAGAATGAGCCTATAAACTCCATAAGGTAATTCCAAAGCAGTTACACCGCGTAGCCTGTCTTTTCATTTGCTTATGTCTTGTGATACACAGAAACTGTTTTTCCTTTAAAGTAGTAAAATAAATCAAGTTTTCCTTTGAGTTGTACTTCTTGTATCTTACTTAGGAAATCCTTCCTTACTCTGAGATCATAAAGATATTACCCTATATTTTCTTTTAAATTTTTTGAAGTTTTATTTTCCATCTAGAATTGATTTTTGCATATATTATAAGGTAGAGATCCATTGATTCCGTATGAATAATCGTACGTTGTTTGGGGTTGTTTTAGAAACAAGAAACAGGTCTTGTTCTGTCACTCAGATTGGAATGCAATGGCATATCATAGCTCACTGTATCCCTGAACTCCTGGGCTCATGCTATCTTCCTGCTTCAGCCTCCCAAGTAACTAGGACTATGGGTGTGCACCACCACACCTGACTACTTTTTTATTTTTTGTAGAGATGGGGTCTCACTATGTTGCCCAGGCTGGTCTTGATCTCTTAGTCTCAAATGATCCTCCTGCCTTAGTCTCTCAAAGCACTGGGATTACAGGTGTTGGCCTCCACACCCAGTCTACAATACATTGTTTTTTAAACATATAAATAATAAATACCATATACACCATTTTTTTTAACCTTTAAAGTTTGAAACATGGACTGGGTCTTCCCCAAGAAGCAGAAGTATTTCATTCTAATCACAAAGGTAAGAAACTACAGATACCCTTTAATTTAAAGGTTAGATTTATGCTTGCAAAGATGAATGTCAAGTAAGCTGTACTTGTTCAGAGATTTCAATTGCCACAGGAAAAGAACTCCTTCAAGATATTAAGGCGTTAAAAAAACGCCGCTGTTTTCCACACCAGAGTGTCCTCCAAATCCAACTTCCTAAAGGCGTACCCTGGCTTTCCTTTCATTGTCTGAGTATCTCTAGTGTCAGCCAGCACTGCAGCTAGAGGAGCTCTGTTGGCCATTTCAATCACATGAGTTCCAACCTTGTCATTTCATTTTACAGTTCGGAGAGAAATAAAGCAATTTTATTTCTCACTGAATCACTTCTATAAATTCCATCATAAAAAAAAAAAACTTGACAAAGAATGGATGTCTGTACGTCCATCACCTTTTACCTTTGTAGTTTAATAACTTAAAGCTGACTCATTCATACCCTTTACCTAATCGGTTACTGGGGCCAAACACTACCCAGAACCACATAACAATTTAAAACATTACAATATGATTTAAGTAGCTAAGGAGTGAAGCTAAAGTCTCTAGCTCTTTCAGAGATTCCCAATGGACTGAAAAATAATAGGCTTCGTAAGCAATTACATATGTTAGGCTTAACCTAGAGTAGTAAACTTACACTAAGCATTAACTAATATCTTGGTACTAGCTGAATGGGACTACTGACAAAAAAAGGTCAAAGCAACATGGTTAACCGACATTTGCGAGACTGAGAGTTAGCTTCATTTTCTTCAAGTTATGGGAAGAGGTAATATGAGGATGACCTTAAGTTGCACTTTCCCATTCCTACTGTGTATAGAATAAAAATGAAAGACCCACCTTAACCATACCATCAGGGCCTTAAGTTTATTCAGATTTTTTAAAAAAACTTTTAAAACTATTAAATAACATTTTACTCCAAATACGAAAACTGTGAAATCACTTTCCTTATAGAACTATAAATGGTTCCCAGGAAGCCTGCTGACATGACCTTTCAGTGCACATCAAAGAGCACAAAGCTTGCCCCAGAGTATTAGGACAATTCAAGGTACTTACGATTAATCGACCCCAAAATAAATGTTAACACAGTAACCAAAGGTTAAATCTTGGCCCGCTTTTTTTTTTAGGGGAAAAAAAAGAGAAAAAATAATCACAGAAGTCCTGTCTTTTGTTAGTTCCAAAACAGATAAACACAAGTTTCCCAACAACACAGGAACTGTTGTTTAAGATATAGTCTCTTCAGCGGAGGGTCTCAACATTCACTGAACAGTAGAATCACTCAGTCTTTTAAAAATCAGACACCCAGTCGGGCTCAGTGGCTCAGCCTGTAATCCCACGCCTTGGGAGGCTGAGGTGAGTGGATTGCCTGAGCCCACAGGTTCGAGACCCGCCTGGGCAACTTGGCGAGACCTCATCTCTACGATAAATAAAAAAATCAGCCGGGTGTGGTAGCGTGGGCCTGTAATTCCAGCTACTTGGAAGGCTGGGGCAGAAGGATCGCCAGAGCCCAGCAGGTCGAGGCTGCGGTGGCCGGGAGCGGCCACTGCACTCCGGTATGGGCGACAGAGTGAGACTTCACCTCAAAAAAAAAAAATCAGACAGCCGGTCTATATCCCAAACCAACTGAACTTGAGAATCTCTGTGGGTGCGCCCTATACACCAACACGTTCTGAAGTTCCCCAAGGGATATCATTGTGCAACCAAGGTTAAGAACTACTGCTTTATACAGAGACATAACAGAAGCATCCAACCAAATCTGTTCCTGACACTCCCTAGCCCTACACAACCTATGTAGTTTTTCAACCACATACTGAATGTAGAAGTTTCAAGAGTTTCAGAGGTCCTCAAGAGACTGTGCAGTGACTTACTACACTAAACTGAAGTATCCTCAAGTAAATGTTTGAAGAAGACATCAAAGATGTATTGCAGTTACTGCATCTCCAAAGGCGTTTAAGTTGAGCGAACACCTCTCCCAGAGCCCAGGTTTAACATTAAAATCATAATCTCAAAGCATAGTCTGAGGCCACTGGTGAGCTTCAAAAAATCAAAACAAATGTCTTTCCTTTGATTCTTTCTTAAACCATCCCACAGGCTTTCATTTTCACATATAATTGACATTTATTTATTAGTAACCTACGAAGTAAGTTATTAAAGGTACTATAAAAAACTCTCAATCAGTCTGACTGATGTAAAGTGTTTGGCACACCTGTCAAGTGACCATTATATATGTAGATAAGCAGAAGGGCTACCATTTCTAGACAATACACATCCATGACCATCATTCTGAGCTAGTCATAGTTTCCACTGCTGCTACTGTTCTTGCTTTCATTTTTTTTTTTTTGAGTTGGAGTCTCACTCTGTCACCCAGACTGGAGTGCAGTGGCCACTCTCGGCCACCGAAGCCTCGAGCTGCTGGGCTCCAGCGATCTTTCCACCACCTCAGCCTTCCAAGTAGCTGGAACTACAGGCGTGCGCTACCACGCCCGGCTAGTTTTTGATTTATTGTAGAGATGAGGTCTTGCCAAGTTGCCCAGGTGGGTCTCGAACCCGCAGGCTCAGGCAATCCACTCACCTCAGCCTCCCAAAGGCATGGGATTACAGGCTGAGCCACCGAGCCTGGCTATGTTCTTGCTTTCTAATGATCAAATATTAGCTTGGCTTTACCATCATCAATTTCATTAGCTATGGGTTTCTAGCAAAGCCCAAATGTATACTGATCACATGTCTATTATATGGCTAATAATATTCTCTAATAACTAGATATTAGGACATACACACTGTATTTCTTTTCTTTTTTTTTTTTTTGAGTTGGAGTCTCACTCTGTCGCCCAGAGTGGAGTGCAGTGGCCGCTCCTGGCCACCGCAGCCTCGACCTGCTGGGCTCCGGCGATCCTTCCACCTCAGCCTTCCGAGTTTACAAGCCGGAATTACAGGCGCACGCTACCAAGCCCAGCTAATTTTTTTGATTTATTGTAGAGATGAAGTCTCGCCTGCCCAGGCGGGTCTTGAACCCGCGGGCTCAGGCAATCCACTCACCTCAGCCTCCCAAAGGCGCGGGATTACAGGCTAAGCCACCGAGCCCGGTTTACACACTGTATTTCAAATTAGAACCAATTAATCCACTATTGGTAAGAATAAACTGCCTAGACAGCAATTTCTCACTGATGAATTTGTACTATTTAAATAATTGTCAACATACCATCAAGGTAAATGCAAAAAAGTTTCTTATTTTTAAGACTGTGGGTCTTAATTTTATATGGGTATACAGTCAAATGCTTATAAATATTTCCTCTAAACACAAAGGTGTTTAAGTTTAGTTAATGCCTCTCCCAGGGTCCAGGTTTAACATAAAAATCATAATTTCAAAGCAGAGTCTATAAATAAAAACACCTTTTTATTAACAAGTTCTTTTTCACACCACAAAGAAAAAAGGGTAGGGCAGATAAACAGAGGAATCTCGGCTCATCCAAGTAGATAAAAATTTTTTAAAGTTTGAGAGCCAATGTCTGAATGTACTAGGCAGGTATTTGTAATCATTTGTGTTTTGTGAGATCTCCAGTTTAAATATAACCCCTTTACCACCATAAAAATAGGGACAAGGTAGGACAAAAAGCAAAGGCATTGTCACCAACTGAAAAGGTCAGAACGAGGTCACCTGTTGAAAAATGTCACAATCAAAACAAACTAACATTAACTGTCCTCCTTCAAAAGACTCCTTTTGGTGCAACCAACATGATTTAAGCTAATTATAAATGCAAGGGATATGTTCAAATATCTATCAAATGCAAATGTATGTGCATATTTTAACTTATTCATACGTGGTTTGTATGAATAAGAAGCCACAGAGATTACTTACTAGCTGACGTCTATTTCTTTTCCAGGTTTCTGCTTTCCTTTTGGAATTCATGTTCTGAAAAGCTAAAAGTAGAGAAAACAAGTTCTAATCAAAGTTCAAACAGGAATGTTTACAACTTTTTTAGGCTCTGGTTCAAGTCACAAGTGACCTTTAAAGTCTTGCTTCTCTGTTCATACATCAAAAACTCCAGATAACACATTTCTTATAAGTCTACAGTAAACTTAAATCAGAGGCTCTAAAGCACTAACTTACAGACTCACACAGTGAGAGCTGTAAAAAGTACTTTAGAGAGGTTCGAGACAGGCCCTTATCAGGATTGCAGGAAACTCAGTCTCAATCAGAAGTCATGGTCCTGAAGTAGACCTAAAACATTCAAATTTCTCAAAATTACCATCAATTTTCCAAGAGTAGTAACCTTTATACATTCAAGGACTTCTAAATTTATGACATTATCTGACAAAAGCTTTTCTAAGATGAATTGTAATTTTATTACACAGTCATCCATGATTGAGAGTACACAAGTGAAAGCAACCCTCATAAAGATAAATTTCTTTCTGTCATGACAGGAAGAAGCACCTAGAATAAATCTAGTCTAGAGCTGTTCCATAGCATCTAGAGATAACTGTACTACTTTTTAACTCAATCAAACATTCCTATTTCTATATGGTCTTCAAAATTAACATCTTTTAAATTTCTAAGATTTTTATTACATCTAATCAAAGATAAAATTCTACTTTGTCCTTGACTACTTTTGTTAGCCAGCCCCATATTTGTCCCCAGTGCCCTTCCTGGTAGAGCTCGAAGGCTCCTTTCAAAAACTGCCTTCATACATTTGGTAGCAGCTGTCTTGCTTCCCCAGACAACACAACCACAGGCAAACCTGGGAAGGTATTCTTATGTTCTAAAAACTCATGCTGTGAGAATCTCCTATCTGTCCTGAATAACTTGGCTACCAGGGAAACAGTTCTTCTGGGCCAAGGTAAGGAACAAAAAGGCTAGCATTGTGTTATCACTTACTGAAGTCGCTAGGCAGGCTGTGGTTCAGATTCCTATAAAATTCTGTCCTATGTGCTTTTTTCAGTCCTGTACAAAGGCCAAAGTCAGAAAGTTTCACATGGCCCTATGGGGAAGAAGAAACAAGGTGATGGATGGATGAGCATTCTTGGGTAAAGAACCGAACATTATTTTCCCCTGTTCCGTACAGTATCCATTACCTCTCTATAGCCAAAGTATACTGCTTTTTAAATTTTAATTTTAGGAAAAAGCATGTAATAGCAAATACATTTTTAAAATATCACCCCAGATTCTATTAAACTATTTTCACTTTTGCATATTACCTTTGGTTTTGCCCAAATACAGACTTTGAAGTATAGGTGACCCCTCCACAGCATCTAGAGATAATTGTATTACTTCTTTAACTCAATCAAATATTCCTGTCTGGTTTCTAGATGATCTTCAAAATTATCACTTTTTTAATTTGCAAAGATTTTTATTACATCTAATCAAAAGATAAAACTCCAGGGAAACAGCTGTAAGTATTATTTGCAATCATGAGATCACGATCAAAGATGCTCATTTATATAAAATTACCTATTTAAAATAATATTCAGTTGACATGAATAATCAGAAACCATTTGTACTGCTATTGAAATTTTTTCTTAAATATTATTGTTTACCTAAAAATTCCCCTAATACTGGATGCTTACTCCATTTTCAATTCTTCAATCTGATATAACATGGACTATAAGTACCCTGTGACAGAAAAGGTCTGTGTTCCCAGCCCTAATCATTCATAGAGGATAGCCTTAATAAATGGGTATTAGGCCAGGCTCAGTGGCTCAGCCTGTAACCCCAGCGCTTTGGGAGCCGAGGTGAGTGGATTGCCTGAGTCCACGGGGTTCAAGACCTGCCTGGGGAACTTGGCGAGACCTCATCTCTATAATAAATCAAAAATTAGTTGGGCATGGTAGCACGTGCCTGTAGTTCCAGCTACTTGGAAGACTGAGGCGGAAGGATCACTGGAGCACAGCAGGTCGAGGCTGCAATGGCCGGGAATAGCTACTGCACTCCAGTCTGGGTAACAGAGTGAGACTCCAACTCAAAAATAAAATAAAATAAAATAAAATAAAAAATAAATGGGAACCGGGCTCGGTGGCTCAGCCTGTAATCCCACGCCTTTGGGAGGCTGAGGTGAGTGGATTGCCTGAGCCCGCGGATTCGAGAACCACCTGGGCAGCGAGACCACATCTCTACAATAAATCAAAAAATCAGCCGGGCGTGGTAGCGCATGCCTATAATTCCGGCTACTTGGAAGGCTGAGGCGGAAGGATCGCCGGAGACCAGCAGGTCGAGGCTGCGGTGGCTGGGAGCAGCCACTGCACTCCAGTGTGGGCGACAGAGTGAGACTCCAACTCAAAAAATAAAAATAAAAAATAAAAATAAAAATAAATGGGTACTAAATGAGTAAATGAACAAATTTTGTTCATAAAGCTTGTTCTCCTCTTGAATTATTTCACTGGGATAAATTCCAGAGGTAAACTATTTTAAACACAAAAGAAATAAAAAATATTGCATGGTTCTTCATAAATGCTGCCATACTATATTCTAATAAGTCTTTGGCTTTATACTTCTCATAAAGGAAAACTCAAACCTTCTATGAGTCAGGCACCATGATCAGTGCTTTAACTATGTTGTCTCATTTATAATTCTTTTTTTTTTTTTTGAGTTGGAGTCTCACTCTGTCGCCCAGACTGGAGTGCAGTGGCACGCTCCCGGCCACCGCACCCTCGACCTGCTGGGCTCCGGCGATCCTTCCGCCTTAGCCTTCCGAGTAGCTGGAGCGCAGTGGCAGGATCATAGCTCAGTGCATTCTCTACCTGCTGGGTTCAGGTGATCCTTCTGCCTTAGCCTTCCAAGTAGCTGGAATTATAGGCGTGTGCCACCCATCATGCTCAGCTAATTTTTTGATTTATTATGGTGACGATGTCTTGCTGTGTTGCCCAGGTTGGTCTCGAATTCCTGGGCTCAGGTAGTTCTCTCACTTCTGCCTCACAGGTGTGAGCTCCCATGCCTAGCCTCCGAAAAATATCTTTATTCCCATATTCCAGATGAGATAAATGAGGTTTGGAGAGATAAAGTAATCCTTGTCTGAGGGGAAAGAGCATAGACTGATTTCTAGCTTTGGTTGTGCTGTTTCACCAGCAAGCCGTCTAACTACTCTAGAGAGAGATGTATGGCTTAAGAATTATAAATGAGCTGTGCTCGGTGGCTCAGCCTGTAATCCCAGCGCTTTGGGAGGCTGAGGTAAGTGGATTGCTTGAGCCGGTGTGTTCAAGACCCACCTGAGCAATTTGGCAAGACCTCATCTCTACAATAAATCAAAAATCAGCTGGGCGTGGTAGCGCGTGCCTGTAGCTCCAGCTACTCGGAAGGCTAAGGCGGAAGGATGGCCGGAGCCCAGCAGGTCGAGGCTGCAGTGGCAGAGAGCGGCCACTGCACTCCCATCTGGGCAACAGAGTGAGACTCCAACTCAAAAAATAAAATTAAATTAACTTAAAATTAAATAAATCCCACTAGGTTTGGGTGAATGCATGTGTATATATAGCAAGATAAACAGCCAAGCAGGGACAGCTTTGAGCCTACTCACTTGGTATCTTTTTTTTTTTTTTTTAGATTTGCGAATAAGTTGCTCTACAAGCCAAGGAATACAGTTTAATTTGTAGTTCTCACAATTACATGTCTGCCTGGACACCTACCTCTAAGAAAGGATTATGTCTTAAAAAGCAGTGCCTGGAGAAAATGCTATTCAAAACTGACCTTTTAGAGAATTCTATAGCTATTCAGAGTATACCGCAGGAAGTGAAAACGTCTACATTTTCACTACTACAATCAATGTGGCTGAACACAAATGAACTGGCTTGAGAGAGCATTTTACTACAAGTGTGAGCCAGCATACTATAGAGAGCAAGCCTGCACCACAGGATCCTCTACTCCTCTTCAGCTAGATTGAGTCCCCAAGTCCTTCAGCTTTGATATATTTGCTTCTCCTGAATAGACAACAGGTGGACACCTAAGTCAACATTAAGGTACCCGGGGGAACAATTAGGGCATCTGAACCCAAACTACACAAAACTACAAAGGGTCAGTGCTTTATTGAAAATATATCTGAGCCGGGCGCAGTGGCTCAAGCCTATAAATACCAGCACTTTGGAAGGCCGAGGCATGAGGATTGCCTTAGCCCAAGGGGGTCGAGATCAGATTGGGCAATTTGGTGAGACATCATCTCTACGATGTATCAAAAAATTAGCTGGGTGTGGTAGCGCACCCCTATAATTCCAGCTACTTGGAAGGTTGAGGCGGAAAGATCACCAGAGCCCAGCAGGCCGACGCTGGGGTGGCCACAAGCATGCCACTGCACTTCAGCCTGGGTGCCAGAGTGAGCCACTGACTCAAAAAAAAAAAAAAAAAAATCTGACCTTAACAATATAAAAAGAATCTTAGATAGCATTAATGGTTTTTTTTTTTTTTGAGT